TCTGACTCATTGTGTCGATGGAAAGATTTTGTAAGAGCTTCTCTTCCTTATTCTGGGAGCAAAAGAAAAGTCACTTCAATTTAGTACAATACTTAGAGAGGGAGCCTCCAAGGAGTGAACGTAGGTCAGATTTGACCGAACCACTATAAAATTCTGTGTGATCTTTCTTATTAGTTTTTATCGCATTTTATTTTTGTACATTTCTGTGATTTTTTTTTAAAATATTTAAAAAGATCAAAAATATTTTTTGTTAAATATTTTTAAAAATACCAATTCACCCCTCCTCTTGGTTAGCCTCAGACTAGTTCTTTAGGGTTTAACACCTCTCATGAACTTTCATGGATATCCTTTCATGTGATTGAATATAACCTATAAGACCCTTATGAGTGGGTACCTGCATAAGCAATCATGGGAGTATATTTTGCGCCACTATTTATTTGACCCTTTAAAATATCAAGTATCAAGAAGGTAAGATAAATTAATAAAAAATTAGGGAAATGAGCATAATAAAATATGAATTTACTTCCCAAACTTTTATCAATTTTTCCCATCATAAATTTTCTTTATCACTTCTCGAGACAAGTCAATACTTACTTTCCATTCCCAACATATGAGTCTTGTGCAATTTCAGTAAGATTGATCTTCTTGGCATTCGAGCTTCTTGAAAGCTACCTTTAAGAGGTTATGCCTAGCAAGGACATTATTGGCAAGGAGGATTGGATATCCCACTACTTAGTTGAGTTTAATATCGATTCTTTATTAAAGAGTGCATAGATCCATGTTAGGGATTTAGTCATTGATAAGGATAACCAGTCATTAGTTCCTATAAAAAGGACAAATGATACAATTTCTCCCATTATTCTTACTACAAGTGAGGTAGTTGATGATCTTAATGGGCATTCAGATGAAGGGATGAATCATTATTACACCATTGAGATCATGCATGTTGGGTGCAATAAAGATGCCTAAGGTGGCATGTACTCAAGAGTGAAATATAATTGTTGATGATTAGATGATCGCTATTATGATGGCTATTGAAGATGTTGCTGAAGAGCAGAATGGGGGCAAGACCCTCGAGCAACCATAGATTTCCATCTCGTATACTTTGTTTATTGATCCCAACCTTCCCCCAAGGAAAACATCATTGAATGAAAATTGTGGGAAGGTTGGTAGGATTGGAGGTGGTTATCAAGACGGGGGAAGCAAGAAAATGAAGTGTTAGTAGAGAGTGAGTAGTTGTTGTTGTTGGTACTGTTTATATGACAGACGATATAACTTCATTGAATGATCAAATAGTTGGCATATAGACTTGCATAAAATTAATGGAGGTTGAGTGGTGTTCGCTACTCAATCAATCTAAGTAGGAAGGTTTTCACTACGGGCACTTAACATTGTCAATTACCTTGTTACTATAGTGGGGCAAATGCCATGTATTGTAAGAGATCCTATATTGAAGCGTAATCATCATAGTCACTATATGGGATTTTTTTTCATTCTTTTAGTCATCAATTATCGGGTGGGACCTTTCCAACTGAGAGGGATATCATGTACTATTTTTTGTAGAGCTTGTCAAAAAAGAAGGGGGATTCATTATAATTATTAAGAGCATGGTGCCTGTAGCTGACTATAGTACAAAGCACCTAAAACTTTCCTAATTAAAGACTCTTGTGATGGAGCTATATATAATTGGACGAGTTTTCCAATAGTGGCTATGGTATTTTACTATTTATAAAGTGTCCTTTGCCTTATAGTAACCAATAGTGCTAAAGCACTTAAGACTTATCTTCTATTAGGGACTCGCTTGAGTCTCATTACGGGGCTTGTTGTAATGGGTGTAGGTGGCCAATAGTTTCTAAGGTCTTGTATTGTAGATGAATGTTGACCTCATTCTTACGTAAGGTTCATAAATCAAATTTAAATTCAAATCCAAACTCAAAATTGTAAACCAAAAGACAAGGCTAAAAGCCTGTGTCACATAACCCTTTCTGAATGATTTTTCAATCATCTCAAAATAAAATTTAATGACCTCTAATTTATGATCCATTAGTTAAACATTGAATAGGCATGTCTATAGGGAAAATCCACCAAATTTAAGGTCAATACAAGCCCTTTATCCCTTGAAACATCAATGAAATCCAAAGGCTACAAAACCTTAAATTATTTATAGCCCATGCCACTAGACCTTGCACCCTATGGAATTTAACCTTGGGACCTTCCCCAAAACCATTGAACATATCCATAACCCTTTTTATTATATGTTAAATATAAAACTACACATATGTGGACCATGGTTGGTCATGGGCCCATTGAACTCCAAAACCCTTAAGGGAAAATAAGTTTTTTCCCCTTAAACTTCAACATGGCTCATTCAAACCATCCATTGAAACATCTTTCATTACATTATAAATATCATTTAGGTTGTACTGAATCCAAACCCAAAGCTTGGTTTGACCTGGTTGACAAGATAACTATGGTTGACAAAAATGCCTCTTAAGGGACCAAATATATGCTTTTCATGAAAGGAGACCTCACCTTAACATGTGAACACCTCAATTGGTCTCAAGTTGAAACTATTGAATTCAACTCCAACTCTTTCTATGACTTGGTTGACTAGAAAAACTTTGAATTATAACCAACAGCCATAGTGCACTAACCATCTGACCTCAATCATGTTCAAATTACTTCACTACAAACCCTTTAACATAAAATTAAAAATCACTGCCTCCCGAGCAAGGGATTTACCCAACATCACACAATTAAGATAGCCCAAGATAGCTCAACTAATCATGTATTTTGATCATCTCCATATGAACTTCAAATCAACTTTGATCTTCATCAAAATCTCTTGATCATCACTCTTAGTGGGTTGTTCATGATTGGTCACCCCACGTGGTCACCAATTGACTGGGTCAACTGGACCCATAATTTGTCAAAATAGACCCAATTGAGTCAACCTTTTATACACTCACTGAAATAAAACCCCATCACGCCTCAAATCCATTCCAATCCATACCTTAAACACATCTCAATCATGGATGAGTCATATCTCATTGCATTTGTCTATTCCTATCATTGTTTCATACCATTTGGAGTACACTTCACTAGCATCCTTAAATCCCAAGGTACCACATAAGTAATTTTGACCATATTAACTAGATAAACCAATCAACCAAAGGGCTAAAACCCCTTTGAATGGTAAAAATACCCATCTCAGTTCATTTTTCACCATTCTAGCTCATTTAGGCTACTTAGCTTAAACCTAAAAGCACTTTAAACATCGCTCAACCTGGGCTCATGTCATTGCCTAATAAGAAGGGAAAGAGTGGCCCCCTCTCATGTATGGTCATCCAATGACATCCTACCTCTCCCAGCTTTGGCATTACCATCTAACCACCTTAGATAGGTGTATGGAATCTAAGAGAAGGCTCTGATGCATCCCAACCATTTCCTAAAACCCTAAACCCTTGATATAAGAAAAGGCATAAAATGCCTCATTCAAACCTATTTCATTGACCTCTGCCCCAAAGCTAGATCTCCCATTTTTTTATGCATCTACACACCTTCTTCTTTATTTCCTAGCTTGAACCCACTATTAAGAGGTAGCTAGTGATGAGCTTCTTGTCACCCATTATTTGGAATCCATCCAACTCAAATAGATCGTGATCCAGAGCTTTTTAGTGGGATTATTCTAGAGGCTGTAATAAGTAAAATGAGCCAAAGTTTGGCCGTGAACATCCATTGGATTGATGTAAATGTGAAACTGTAGCTTAGGACACTCATGTTTAAATAGCTTTTGATAAAGCACGTTTTAAACCATGTGCATGTGCATGATAGTCATATGATTACTATTTCCTTAGCCTTACATGATTTCCATTTAAGTGCCTGATAACTTATAGTTAAATTTATTCAAAAAAATACTACGATATGTTCTTTTCCTTATCACAGTATTTTGGAGATGGTTAAATGGGGAATTATTTGGTAAGTGAAGTTCCTAGTGTTTGGGTAATGGTTTAACCCAAATACTTGGGAATACACCCCTTATATTAGACATAGATTTTGGTTATATGATTATTCCGGTGTGATGTGTTTATATATGTATATCAAAGGGTTAGTTTAACCAAGATTCAATCCTATCAAGCACTAATGGTACCTATGAAAAATAATTAAGAATATTGTCTAGATAACTTAGAAAAATCCTAGAAATTTTGTACACTTTTTTTTTTTTTTTTTTGATAAAAGCATTAATGCATTAAAAGCTAGAAAAAAACATAAAGAACTACAAACATGATTCCTCCTTCATCAATTGAACAAATGAAGGAGGAATCTTATCCAAAGTAATGTCTTCCCAAATAAAGCACTAAGGAGACCATAACTAGCACACAAGTCTGCTAGTTTATTTCCCCCTCTATGAATGCATTTAAAAATAACATAATTAAAATCATTGAAAAAGTTTAACTCATCTTGATATTTGAATCTGTGATCCTTAGCATCTTGAATCACCTTAATGACATTGAAGTTGTCGCTCTCAATAATAGCTCCTTTGTACTTGAACATCCAATCTTTTATAATATTCTTCAAAGTCTTGATAGCCATAAATTCCAATTGGTATATGTCCCAATGGATACAAGAATTCCCAAAAGCCAATAAGAATCTTCCTTTGCAATCTCTGATAATACCTCCAACTCCTGCTCTATAAGAAGAAGAAAGAGTAGAAACTACATTGATTTTTAACAAACTGGGTAGAGGGGGATGCCAAGTATTCAACAGTCTAGAGGACTGATTAACATCCCATGATTCCGGCAATTGATAGAGTATGAAGATTGGCTGATTGCTTGGACAACAATAGAGGTAGCACTTTCATTCATGCCTTCATGAACCAAATTGTTTCTAGCCTTCCATGAAAAGTACAGGACATTGAAGAAGAGATTTAGAATCATACCATCATTCTTAGAGATATTGTGTATCCACCTATAGCATCCTTGGAGGTTGTTGAATTCGGCCTAAACAAAGCCCCATCTGTCAAGAATATTGATCACCTCTTTGATTTTGGAACAGCCACCAAAAATGTGCTCCATATCTTCTCTACCAATAGAGCATCTTGGGCATTTATCATTCTGTTTTAATCTTCTTTGAACAAGAAATTGAAAAGTAGGTAATGCATTTTTGAGAATTCTCCAGATGAAGGTTTGAACCCGTGGATTCACTTTTGCCTTCTTTATCCAATAAAAAGGTATCCATTCCTCATCTTGTTGCTGAAATTCTCTAATCATTTCAGGAATAGATCTTCCTGGACCTTGATAGATGAGTTCTTTGACATCATCATACATAATTTTATCAATTTTGATATTTAGAATGAGATCTACCAGATCTTTACCAAAATTCTGCATCAATTTTTCCTCATTCCAGCAACCTTCTTCAATGAAACTTCTCAGAAACTGATCTCTATCATCTTGAGAGATAACAAAAGTAGGCCAGCCATTGATTCTTCTATCAAGTATCCACTTATTCTTGAATACTTTGATTGAACTCCCATTCACTACTTTCCATCTGATAAATGGTTCCAATACTTTGCCTCCATTGATTAAAATTTTTCAAGAGGAAGAAGTTTTCTTTAAGCCGTGATTCCCAAAACAAGTACCATACTTAGGAGCTAAAGTTCTATGTAATAAAGACTCCTTATTATTAAGGAATCTCCAAGATAATCTAACTCTAAGAGGAGCTACCCTTGTATATGAAGAATGTAATCCACAACCACCTTTCTTCATTGGCTGGCAAAGGTTATCCCAGCTGATATAATGAAGTCCAGGATTTTTACCATATTTATTCCAAAGAAATCCTCTACAAATTTTGTCAATCTCCTTAAGGACTTGCACCGGCACCAAAGAGTGAGAGCTGAAATAGTTGGGAAATGCTAGGATAACAGTTTTAATAAGAACAATCTTACTTGATAGTGATAAAGACTTTGTTCCCCAAGTATTGAGTAATTTAAGAAGTTTCTCAATGATGAAATAGAAGTAACTAGCCACCATTCTTCTCAAAGTCATCTTAATGCCAAGGTAAACAAGTTCCTTTACTTTTTTAAATCCCATAATTCTGGATATCTGTTTCTTCTTCCTTCTTTTAACATTGCTTCCAAATAGAATGGCAGATTTCTCAGTGTTGATTTTCTGTCCTGTCCACAAGTTGAAGTTAGAAAGAATGTCTTTAACTTCAAGAACCGCCTTCCGTGTAGCTACTGAGAAAAGCAAAACATCATCAGCAAGTAGTAAGCGTGATATCCGAGGACTGTTGGATCAAACTCCAATCCCAATTGAAGAATGTGTGAATGCATTTGTAAGAAGTTGGGAGCATAGGATAAATAAGATGGGGGACAAGGGGCACCCCTGACGAAAACCACTTTCAACCTTAATCCATCTAGATAGTTTCCCATTTATAATAATAGAAAATATGGGATTTAAAACATATTCCAATATTAGATTTGAAATCATATCTGGGAAATCAAAGTAGTTCAAAACCTGTTTTAAAGTTTTCCAACTCATAGAGTCATATGCTTGCTCCATGTCTACTTTGTAAGCCACCATCCCATTAGCTGCCTTAGAGTACCAAAATTTATGAAACATTTCTTGGGAAATGAGTATGTGATCTGAGATGGATCTCCCTCTAATAAAAGCAGCTTGCTCCTCCGTGATTAGCAATGGAATAACCGGAATAAGCCTATTCAAGATAACTTTTGCAGTAATTTTGTAAACTGAATTGCAAAGGCTTATAGGCCTATAATTTGAAGGCATCAAAGGATTAGAGACCTTTGGAATGAGAACCACAAGTGTGTCTTTCCAATTATAATACATACTTCCATAATTCAGAAAATGATATAAAGCTCTTATAAAGTCTTCTTTTACAATATTCCAGTAAAATTTGATAAATGAGTAAATGATCCCATCATTACTGGGAGCAATGTTATTACCCAGATTTTTTATGACAAATTTAATTTCCTCCACTGTGAATTCCTTGGACAAGTTATACTTTTCATCCATACTCAAAATCTTACCAGAATTCGGCTAATCATTCAAATTACAACTTCTCTATTTCCACTTGAAGTTGAAAAACTGCATAAATACTTCTTCAATTTGGCTTTGTTCTTCAAAAACTAATCCATTTTAATTATTGATTTTAAAAATTCTGTTTCCAATCCTTCTAGCACTTGCAAAAGAGTGATATAATTTTGAGTTGCAATCTCCCTCATTCATCCATTTTACTTTAGCTCTTTGTTTTCACCAACTACATAACCAAGCCATAGTAGAATTTAGTTTAGCAGCTTTGGATTTCATCTTCCAACAGTCTACTTCGGATAGCCAACCAGTTTCAGATTCAGTAATTTGTAGTTTAAGAATATCCTCCATTAAACTACTTTTAAGATCTTCAAGATTCCTCAGCTTAGCCTTGCTCCAGAAGAACAACGATTTAAGCGTTCTTTTACATTTGGCATTTAGAATTTGTGAATAATCCCCATTGTATTTCTTGCTCCATTCCTTCTTCACCATAGCAAATGATGCTAGATAAGATCCCCATATATCCTCAAAGATAATTCTCTTCTTATAAGTGGAATTATAATTGCATAAATTAAGAACCAAAGGGCTATGATCGGATGCAAATCAAGCTAAATGCCTCACAGTTAATTGAGAGAAATAATTCAAAGTAGAAGAATTAAGGAAGCACCTGTCAAGTCTCTCCAATATCCGTGAACCTCCAGATTTGTTGTTGCACCATGTATACCTTCGACCTATAAATCAAATCTCATGTAAGTCATTGTTAGAATTGAAAGATCCCATTTCTCTAGCTCCTTGAGAAAAATAGAATTTTTTCCCTCCTCTTTTGTCTTCTTTGGAGGTGAGACAATTGAAATCTCCCCCAACCAGCATCGGATACTCCTCCACATTATAAAACTCCAGCAGCTCCCATAACTCTCTACGTTTGATTATTTCCTTGCTTCCATAGACCGAAGCCACTCTCAATTTACAATTTCTATTTATGGTCAAGTCTCCAATGAGACATTGGGATGAAGATCCCATCTTGGTAAACTCAGCAATATTTGAACTCCAAAGAACTATAATTCCCCTAGAAAGGCCATTAGAAGGAACCAAATCAAATTCCCATTCTTCTCCCATAAGTTTCTTCACTTCTCTTATATCAAATTAAGAGATTTTTGTTTCTAGCAAACCCAAAAAAACAACATTGTGTAATTTGACAATTTCCTTCATGTATAGAGAAGCACTTCTCTTCTTTGCTCCTTTACAATTCCAAAATTGGGGTGAAACTCTAGAACAATGAACTTAGTGACACCATGAACCTTATGTTATAATTTCACTAAATTTAGACTTCATTAGATCAAAAACTAATCAAAATAATAATGAGCACCTTTAGGGGCCTAAAACCTAAAAAAAATGCAATAAATCCAAATTTAATCTAAAAAAAATATTGGCTCAAATTATTCATAATTAAATATACAACAACAACAACAATAACAACAACATCAAGCCTTTATCCCACTACGTGGGGTCAGCTACATGAATCCTTTTTCTCCATTGTGACCTATTATATGTCAAATTCTCGTTTAAATCTAATAAAGAAAGTTCATTCCTAATATTTTCTAACCAAGTCTTTTTAGGTCTGCCTCTACCTTTATTAACATAAGTGAAATCTAATACATCTACTGTCCTAACCGGGTCATTGGAAGGCCGCTGTTTTATGTGACCAAACCATCTAAGGCGACTCTCTCCAATCTTATCTTCTACTGGAGCTACTCCAACCTTTCCACGTATATGCTCATTTCGTATCCTATCTCTTAAGGGTAAAGCCACTCATCCAACTGAGCATCCTCATCTCTGCCACAATTAACTTAATATTATGCTTCTCTTTTAATGGCCAACATTCAGCACCATAAAGCATCGCAGGCCTCACTACCATCTTATAGAATTTTTCCTTAAGTTTGGGGGGTACTTTTCTATCACACAACAAGCCCAATGCATTCCTCCACTTTAACCATCCAACTTGAATTCTACTGATAATATCTCCATCAATTTCACCATCACTTTGAACAATAGATCCAAGATATCTAAAACGTGTACTCTTATTAATGACTTGATCGCCCAAAGTCATAATTAAATATACAATCTAGAAAAATTAAAAGCCCCATCACTAGACATCTAATTTGGCCTTAATTTGCAATTAAAAAAATAAATAATTAATTAAAATAAATAATTAAACTTTACTTAAAAATTTCAAATAAATTTTAAACACTTGAAAACACTCATATAGTTCATTCTTGAGACATTGGAGGGATTTCAAAAGGTTTGGAGTTAGTTTGGTGAAAAAATAAGAAAACCTCCTTAATGAAGCAATTAAATAATTCAATTAAATGTCCAAATTTTAAAAATTCATAACTAGCGGGTAAAACTAAAAAAAACAGCATAATCAAAGGCATTAGAATCCTCTCAAGTTCTAATATTTATGAAAAATATCAAATTTCTTTAAATCACCATAAATCAAAAAGTTAACCTTTTGGTCAACATAGTTAAAAAATGCACCCAACCTTTGAAAAATTATAATTATTTGTAGAAAATTCTAAATCCAATAAAATTAGTTCCATTTTACTCATCTTAGGTGGATTGAAGAAGGAGATAACAATTCAAAAGTCTTCCATGCATATGCAACAGCTAGGCAAAACAAAAATTGGATAGATCAGGTGAATGATATTAATGGCTTGTTGATAAAAGATCAAAATTAGATGGAAGATGTTTTCTATGATTTCTTTAAAAGCAAATGGATGGAAAGGAAGTTTTTTCTAAAGGGTTGGCCTCCTCTTTTAAAGGTGTTGGATGACGTTGATAAAAAGATTTTAGAAGTTGATTTTACGAAGGATAATATATTTCTATCCAACTTGGAAAGTCATTTTGAATGGAGCTAAATTTCTACATCAGATACTGAGATGGTAGGTGATTACTTGTTGTGATATTAATACAGTAGAGGATGCTTGGAATTTTGATAAAAGTATTAAGAAGTGGCCTACGTTTGTTGTAGAGATGAATGAAGATACTCAATTTCTCAAGGCTTTCATTAGGGATGAAGAGTGGAATGAGTCCTAGTTAAAAAGTTTTTTCATGCAGCACCTAGTGGAGGTTATCATGCTAGTTCTTATTCTTACTGACTTGCAGAAAGATCAAATGGAGCTGGTATTCAAATGTAATGGGAAGTCTATTTGGGCACTAGTTTTAAAAAATATATTTGAAGATGATGGAAAAGACAGACATTGGAGATGGATAAAGAAGCTCAAGTTGTTGCGAATCTGAAATTATGGATTAGACTTTTGATGATAGAAAATATTTATGTTTTTTCTACGACTGCTTTGCCTACCAATTTTCCAGGATCACACGATTGAATGCAACTCAAGCCAGCTCAAGATCTAGTAGATTTAGGTTGAGTCAAGTCTGTATTTTTTCCTTTCTTGAGTCAATTGTAAAAGTGGTTCCTAATGCTAAGTAACCTTACACAAACATACTTGAGGGGTTTTCTGAGTTTTTCTGTTTTGAGTACATCATCCTGGACGAAGAGAGAGAGAGAGAGAGAGAGAGAGAGAGAGAGAGAGAGAGAGAAAGAGAGAGAGAGAGAGAGAGGAACTTGTGAGGGGGAGTTTGTGAGAGGGTTCACAAAGGTTTCTCTAAGTAAGGTTCCAAGTTGTCATCTCCGTTCTTCGTCCTTCATCCTTGGGAGGTTCTTGGGAGGTCTACTTCAGCAAAGTTCTGGGTTCTCTGCCCGCTTTAAGAGGAAGCAAAAGGAGTCGGTTCTCTGCCGCACCGGGGTTGGGGAAAAGGAGTCTATTGTAAAGGCTTCTCCGCCTAGCTCTGTGAGCTAAATGAAAGACATTTTGTTAGTGCAATACTTGGAGGGTGCCTCCGAGGAGTGGACGTAGGTCAAAGATTGACCGAACCACTATAAATCCGTTGTGATCTTTCTTTATTTTGCTTCCGCGTTTATTTATTTTTCGCACTCCGATTTCTGTGGTGATTTGGTTTTAAGTTTTGTTGTGCTTTATATAAGGAAAATTTTTAAAAATACTAATTCACTCCTCCTCTTGGTTAGCCTCGGGCTAGTTCTTAAGGGCTTAACATTCCTAACGAACTTTCAAGGGTTTTGAAGTGAGAAACAATGGCTGGAAGGCTCTGAATTTAAAGGATCGGCCAGATCGTCCAGGGCGATCGCAGGATCGTCCAGGACTATCCAGTGCAATTATTGTGAACAGGCCGATTGGTCAAAAAGGCGGTTCGATCGTCCGAGCCGATCAGATATCAGCCGGGACAATTAGACACAAACGATCGTCCCGAGGAGTCGGGTCGGATGACCATTGAAAAAGCATATCGTCCAGGCCTATTAGGTGGATCAGCCAGGACCATGCTCAATAATAGATTGTACCGGCCGAATTTAAAACGTTTTAAATCATGCGCCGCGTGTATCGTCTAGGACGAACAGTGGATTGGCCCGGACGATTGTCCAAAAATAGATCATCCTAGGCAAAATTATAGATTTTAAACGTGCGACACGTGTATCATCCAAGATGAATAGGTGTATCGGTCAGGACGATAACAAATAAATGCATTGTCCAGGACAAAAAAAGTATCGGCCAGGATGATCAAGATGATTATAGCAGAGTTCAATCATATCGTCCAAGATGATAAAGGATCGTCCAAGACGATTAGAGCAAAAAGTCAGAGTATTCATCAGATGGAGTTTTTTGAAGCACGAAAAGCCGATCGTCCAGGACGATATAAATCGGCCAGGACAATGTGACAAAAAAATTTTAAACTCAAAGGAAGGATGGAGATGATCAGAGAAGTTCCAAAAACAATAAAATCATCTAAGAACAATGATGTTATAACATTAAAAAGCCATAAAAATTAGCAAATAAACAAGTTTTTTTTATTATTTAGCAAGACATGCATAAAAAATGCTCCAAAAAAAATTAAATTTGAAAGATTTGTAAAATCAATGTGTTAACAACATCGAAATCTGAAAATGGTAGAATATCCGATCCTGTTAACCCTAGCTCGAACTTCTTTCAGGGAAAAAATCATCTTTTGATTTTCTTTGTGTTTTTCTAGTTTGTTTCTCTTCTAGTTTTAGTTTCAGATTTCTGTAGTATGTTTTTTTTTATATATTTTGTTTTAGTTTTTGTTATGTTTTTATTTGTGTTTCCCTCCTTTTTGTGATGTCAAAAGGGAGAGTAGTATGATGTATCTTGTACTTTTAATTCTTAAACTTAGTGAACTATTATTTTACTAAATTGCCATAACTATTTACTGTTGTAACTGTTTGAAATTCTCTGTTTATGTTTGTCATCATAAAAAATGAGGAGATTGTTGCAAATCTGAGATTATGGATTAGACTTTTAATGATAGCAAACATTCATGTTTTTTTTACGACTGCTTTGCCTACTAATTTTTCAGGATCACACGATCGAATGCAACTCAAGCCAGCTCAAGATCAGGTAGATTTAGGTTGAGTCAAGTCTGTATTTTTTCCTTTCTTGAGTCAATTATAAAAGTGGTTTCTGATGCTAAGCAACCTTGCACACACACACTTGAGGGGTTTTCTGAGTTTTTTTATTTTGAGTATATCGTCCTGGACGATGTTCCTATCGACCAGGACGGTTCAACTAAAAATAGAAACCCTAATTAGGGCATCCTGGTTAAGCAGCCGTCATTAAGCAAATCATCCTGGACGATAGGCTCAAATCAAAAAGAATCAGCCTACATGATCAATTTAGGTATTCTTTATTTTAAAATTATAGGCCCGGACGATCTCCATATTGGCCTGGTCGATACATCATAATTATGCCTAAATAAATCTGTCAATTATGGAAAGCAATTAAGGCTGATTGATATGATCACATTGGTCTGGCAGATCGCAAAATTGGCCAGGATGATGGACTGGACGATTGACATCGGCCAGAGTCTGTTCAGGGCGATGTTCAGGATGATTGTACTCGAATTTGAACTAATTGTCCAGGACGATATTGTATCAGCCTGGACGATATAACTAAATTTCTTCTGATCGTCCTGATTCATCCCGGCTGATTAAGTTTATTTTGTACTGATCGGCCAGGACGATATTCCTATCATCCTTGATGATAATGTCGGTTCTTGAAATTCTATTTAAAGGACCTAAATTTTCTCATGCAACAAGACCTTGAGTGCTGCTGTCTTGACCTGAGAGAGCCTTGGGAGAGGGAGAGAGAATGAGAGAGAGAGAGAGAGAGAGTGAGAGAGAGAGAGGTTCCAAGTCGTCGTCTCCGTTCTTCGTCCTTCATCCTTGAGAGGTTCTTGGGAGATCTACTTCAAAAAAGGTCTGAGTTCTCTGCCCGCTTCATGAGGAAGCAAAAGGAGTCTGTTCTCTTACACATCGGGGTTGGTGAAAAGGAGTCTGTTGTAAAGGCTTCTTCGCCTAACTCTGGGAGTTAAAGGAGAGACACTTAGTTAGTGCAATACTCGGAGGGTGCCTCCGAGGAGTGGACGTAGGTCAAGAATTGATCGAACCACTATAAATCCGGTGTGATCTTTCTTTGTTTTGCTTCTGCTCTTATTTATTTTTTGCACTATAATTTCTGTCGTGATTTGGTTTTAAGTTTTGTTGTGCTTTACATAAAGAAATTTTTTTAAAATACCAATTCACCCCCCCCTCTTGGTTAGCCTCGGGCTAGTTCTTAAGGGCTTAACATCCCTAACAAACTTTCATAAGTTAAGGCCTCAGGTTGAAATATTATGGTGGAGTTTGAGTATCAATGATATCCCCTCTAACGATTTTCTAATATATAGGAGGCTTTTGAACTTCAATGGATTTCTAAGAGGGTGTAAAGATGCTGAAAACCTATAACATATTGGTTTCAACCGTGTGAAGATTTCTTAAGTGTTTTCTACTCTCATAAAATAGGGATTTTTTTTCTGATTGTTGCTGCTATTGAAGAATGTATTCGGGTCTTGGAATATCTTGCTAAGTCTAAACCTTTTGTTAGTAACTTTTATTGTTCTGCTATTTTCTTAGCTTGGAAGAGTAGAAAAAAGTTGATACATATGGTGGAATAGATATTATATCATTCATTGCAGCTAATTATGTTTGTTACGCTACTGCTTCCTTTTGTAATAATATGATTTCGAAAATCTGGGATGCGAATTAGCAAGTTCAGCTTTCTCCTTCTTCTTGGAATCCCCGTCCTCCAGATTGGATTAAACTTAACATTGATGCTTCCTTGGTGAGTTTGTATAAAGCGGGAATATGTGGTATTTTCAGAGATCATAGAGGAAAATTTTTTATGTGTTTTTGGGTTTTGGTAGTCTGCATTGGGATTGTTCACAGGTGGAGTTGTTATCAATTCTGTCTATGAGAAAGTTTCTTCCAAAGTGGATGTTTAAAGTCAAGGGTATCATTGTATAAGGTGATAACTACAATGTTATTGATTATGTGCAAAGTCTGCTGAACAAGAAAGCGGTCAAGGAGGACTTACTAAAGACAGATCATTTATCTTTCCTTAATTATTTTAATAAAGTTTTATTTCTTTTTTCTAGTAGGAAATGTAATAGGTTAGTGGACATTTGTGCTAACCATGCTCTTTCTTCTGATTTTTTTTTGGGATGATTTAAGTAGCAATAATGTTCCTCCTACATTTGTTGATTTGGTAAAGGAGGAATGTGATTTGGGGGATATCACTTAGCTGGTTGTATTTTGTCTTTCTTATTTAATAAAATTGCTTTATGCATACCTTCATATATATATATATATATATTGGTAAGTTTAATTTAACTAAACACCCATAGAGATGCATTTTTGGTTAAGAAATTCACCCATAAACTTCTTTAAATATAAAATCTATCAAATCCTAACTCTTGTTCACTACTATCAACAAATGTCAAATTTCTTACTTAATGAGCCCCTTTTATTAGGAAAATCTTTGACATGTCTAACAATTTCTATCAAGCACTTTGAGTATTTTAAGTACTCATAATTTACTTATGTGCTAAGTATTTGATACATTTTTAATAACCTAATTCTAGGATTAGATGATCAATAATTGTAATCATCGTTTAGCTTTCATGAATATAAATAGCTAAGTGTGACAAACCCTTGGTTTAATTAATTTTGAGATGTGGTAGTGGAATTTGATCATCGACATTAAGAAACAGTTCGTTTGATGATAGAAAATAATTTAAAATATTCAAATCCGTTATGAATATTTTTGGATATAAATAAAACAAATATGTCACCTTATGTCATTATTAAATGAAATCAACTATTTAGAATTTAGATTATATGTAATATCTCTCATTTAAGTTCAATCAACCAGAAATTTCTAAGCTGTAAGTGACGTCGGCCGATAGGACGACGAACGAACAGCTTGCGATTAGGAGACGAAAGCAAAGCTTACCTTCTCCCGAGAGCTCAACGGAGAATTCTTACTCCTTTGTCGAACTCCGATCACCACCTGTACTCCTACAGGATACAGAAAATTCAAAAAGAATTAATAGGGATTTTTTATCTCAACATCGTCTGTCTCTCGCCTTTATTTGAATAGGCTTTATAGCCGCTGAAAATTTACTCAGCTACAGGAAAAGCAACATGCGTATTCACACGTATAGAAAAACGAGTATTACAAAGAAAAAAGGAATGAAACAAGGGAAACAAAAATAGAGGAGGCGGTGTGACTGAAACAAGGGACACTCCGGTGTCATTCTCCCAGGGTAGGAGAATCATCTAACTCATAGTGAGGCGTTAGATCAGCTATGTTAAAGGTAGCAGAGATGTTATAATCGCCCGGATGGTCAATCTGGTAAGCATTATCATTGAATTTTTTAATAATGTGAAAAGGGCCATCAGCTTTGGGTTTTAACTTCACAAAAGCTCCTCGCGGAAACCGATCTTTCTGGAGATGAATCCAGACCATATCACCTTCTTTAAATTCAACTTTCCGTCGATGCTTGTTAGCTTGATTCTTACACTTGGCATTGTGCTTTGCAATGGTTTCTTGAACGGTCTTATGCAACTACTGTATTTCTTGACTACGCTATTCACCATCAATACTGAAAATAGAAGGAGGTGTGTTTGGTATGAGATCTAGCGGAGTAATGGGATTATACCCATAAGCGACCTCAAAAGGACTGCACTTGGTAGCTTGATTAACAGAACGGTTAAAAGCAAACTCGATCTGAGCTAAGATGAGATCCCACTGGCGGATATTCTTCCCAACAAAACACCTCAACAAGTTACCGAGACTGCGATTAACAGTTTCAGTTTGTCCGTCTGTTTGAGGGTGGGCAGCCGAGCTGAATTGCAACAGAGTGCCGAATTTTTCCCAAAGAGTCCTCCGAAAATGGCTCAAGAACTTTACATCCCGATCAGAGGTGATAGTTCTCGGAATCCCATGAAGACAGAACGATTTCTCTGAAGAATAGATCCGCGACGTGTGTGGCATCCAAAGTCTTTGTGCAAGCTACAAAATGAACCATTTATAGAATCAATCCACGATAACCATAATGGAGTCCTTATTCCTCTGGGTACAGGGCAATCCGACTATGAAATCCAAACTGATATCCACCCATGGAGAAGAAGGTACCGGTAGAGGTGTATACAATCCTGCATTGGAACCGGAAGTCTTAGCTCGTTTACAGACACTACAACTTTGCACATATCGTCCCACGTTCTTCTTTAAGGCAGGCCAAAAGAAGTTTTCCGATAACATACTAATGGTCTTATCTCTACCAAAATGTCCAGCCAATCCTCCATCATTACTTTATGCCAAAAGAGCTAATCTGAGAGAACAATTTGGCACACAAAGTCGTTTTCCAAAGAAAAGATATCCTTCCTTTAAATGGAATTGTTTACAGTTTCCACTGTGACATTGTTCCCACATTGTTTTAAAATCTGGATCATTATGGTATAAATCTTTGATCACTTCAAATCCCACGATTTTGTGGTTCAACGTTTGAAGCAATAGATGGCGTCGGCTGAGTGCATCAGCCACCTGGTTGTTGTGTCCAGCCTTATGTTTGAGCACATAATGAAATGAGGACAGGAATTCTGACCACTGAGCATGCCGAGCCTTCAACTTTTTTTGATGACTTAGGTACCTCAAGGCTTCATGATCTGAGTATAATACGAACTCGTTCGCAAGAAAATAATGGTTCTAATGCTGTAAAGCTCTAACGACGACGTAAAACTCTTTATCATAAGTTGAATACTTTCGACGAGCTTCACTTAACTTTTCGCTGAAGTAAGCCACGGGGTGACCACCTTGGGTAAGCACAGCACCTACTCCCAGGTTAGAAGCATCACATTCGACTTCAAAAGCTTGAGAGAAATTGGGAAGGACTAGCGTGGGAGCTTACGATAAGTACAACTTCAAAGTGTCAAAACTCATTTGAGCATCCTTCGTCCATTTAAAACGATCAGATTTTAACAGTTCAGTCATGGGGGCAGCCACTGTACTGAAGCCCTTTATAAATATACGGTAGAATGAAGCGAGTCCATGGAATCGTCTGATATCTGTAAAAGACTGCGGAACAGGCCAACTACGCACTGCTTCAATCTTTTCCCAGTCCACACGCATTCCTTTAGCTGATAATTTATATCCTAGAAAGGATATCTCAGTCACAGCAAACTGACACTTATCTTTGTTCGCAAACAACTGTTGTTCTCGTAGGACCGTAAACACATTTTGAAGGTGAATTCGATGTTCCTGAAGGTCAGTGCTGTAGATGAGTACATCATCAAAATAAGCTATCACGAACTTATAAAGGAAAGGCTGTGGAATGTGATTCATTAGTCTCATGAAAGTGCTGGGGGCATTGGTTAAACCGAATGGCATCACCAACCATTCATATAGACCGTCATGCATCTTAAACGCAGTCTTCCACTCGTCTCCCATCTTTATTCTGATCTGGTGATAACCACTTCTCAGGTCGATCTTGGAGAAGATCGTAGCTCCCTGCAGCTGGTCGAACATGTCATCAATACGCGGAATGGGGAACCGGTATTTAACAGTAATTTTGTTGACAGCCCGGTTGTCTATACACATTCTGTAAGTCATGCCTTTCTTAGGAACTAATAACGCGGGGACGGCACAAGGACTTACACTATGCCGCACAAATCCTTTGTGTAGTAGTTCCTGCACTTGTCATTTGAGTTCAGCCTGTTCATCAGGCCGAAGCCTGTAAGCAGAACGGTTAGGAATAACGGCTCCAGGTACAAATTCAACAGCGTGTTGAATCTGTCTCTCAGAGGGTAACTTAGAAGGGAGCACATCTGTCATCACATCTGCAAACTCCTCAAGAACATCCTGGACCCCACTGTTATAGCTATCGACTGTATTATTGCTGAAGAGAACAACCAGAAGTAGCCCAACACCCTCCTCTTTGAGAGTCTTCAAGAACATGGACCTAGTGAGTAGCTGCGGATTACTTCCTGCGGACTGACCCTTGCTAATAGGAACCAGCACAATTTTCCTGTTCTGATGTTTGAACGAGTACGTGTTCGATTCTCCATCATGTACTGTTTTCCTGTCAAATTGCCAAGGTCGTCCTAATAAAAGATGACAAGCATCCATCGAGACGACATCGCACCAAACTTGGTCTTCAAATTTTCCAATGGAAAAATTAACAAGACATCTCTTCGTGACCCTGACTTCGTTTTCCTTTTGGATCCAAGAAAGGGTGTATGGTTTGGCATGAGTCTCTGTAGACAAACCCAATTTCTCCACCATAGTAGTAGATACCACATTCTCACAACTTCCGCTGTCAATAATCATTTGACATACCTTCCCGCCTACGAAACATCTTGTTTGAAAAATACGATGTCTTTGACACGTATCATCCCTCTGGGAACTAAGCACCCTGCGAAGAACAAGTAGGCTACCTTCATCTACGGAGATAACCGTAGTCTCAGGTTCTTCGGACAACTGATTGTCTCCCAAAGTAGTTTCATCCACCATTTCTTGATCAGGATCTACATCTTCTAGTATAGTAATAACTCTTCGATTCGGGAATCCTGATGCTATATGTCCAAATCCTTGACATTTAAAGCGCTTTCTTGGCGCCAAAGTGTTCGTCCCAGGAGTTCTTGGTATCCCATTAAAAGATTTTTGGCCCTCCTTGTTTCCGGTAGCTATCACTGTAGATTTCCCATCTATTTTCTTGAAATGTGGTTTGTCCACTGTGTTCTCTTAAGCCATTGCCTTTCCACGATTCCACCTGTTAGCTTTTTGTTATTTTTCCACCTTGATAGAAAGATTAAAGACATATTGCAAAGTCCAGTAAGGCTGTAACTGGACTACATTGTCAATTGTGGTCTGTAATCCTTCCATGAATCGAGCAATCGTGTTTTCTTCGGGTTCAGATAAATCACATTGAAGTGATAACTGTTCAAATTCTGCAATGTATTCTTCGACCGATAACTGATTCTATTGTAGTCTATGAAGCTTAAAGAACAACTCTTGCCGATATCTCTCCGGTAGGTATTTACGTTGAAGCTCCTTCTTCATTTTACTCCAAGTGGTAATCTTGCTACGGCCTTCACGAATTCTGCTACGCTTTAAGTTTTCCCACCACAGAGAAGCACTTTTTTTTAACTTGATCGCAACGATCTTGACAACTCGATCTTGCGGAATCTCCTTAAATTCAATGATTCGTTCTACTGTACATAACCAATTGACAAACTCATCAGGATCTAACCGCCCATCAAAGTCGGGTATATCTATTTTAATCCAGCATCATCTCTATAACGACCTACGCGCCCTTGCATCGTTCTCCTTTCTTCTTCCTCACTGTGAGAATCTTGATGAAAAGGATTCACCTCCTCTTCTTCTTCTTGAACTTCTTGATCTGGTTCCCTTTGTTCGAATCTAGCCAACTTTTGCTGGAGTTGATGAATTTCCCTTTGCAAATCTTCGATAATCACGTCTCTCGTCGGACGCTGGGGATTCCGTCGAGGCGACATCTTTGCCGGCTCTGATACCAATTTGACTCCGGCCGATAGGACGACGAACGAACAGCTTGCGATTAGGAGACGAAAGCAAAGCTTACCTTCTCTCGAGAGCTCAACGGAGAATTCTTACTCCTTTGTCGAACTCCGATCACCACTTGTACTCCTACAGGATACAGAAAATTCAAAAAGAATTAACAGGGATTTTTGATCTCAACATCGTCTGTCTCCCGCCTTTATTTGAATAGGCTTTATAGCCGCTGAAAATTTACTCAGCTACAGGAAAAGCAACATGCGTATTCACACGTATAGAAAAACAAGTATTACAAAGAAAAAATGAATGAAACAAGGGAAACAAAAATAGAGGAGGCGGTGTGACTGAAACAGGGGACACTCTGGTGTCAGTAAGTTTCTAGTAATTTTGATTTTTTATAAAAAAAAAATATTTAAAACTTTATCAAAACCTATTTTTTTTTATTTAAAATTTCAACAGTCAGTTTTAGTTATGTATTTAACACAAAATTTACCATTGAAGAAATCCTATAACGGTGTTAACAAGACCCTCAATGAAGAAGAGGGAGCAGTTCCAATCTCCATTTGGATGGAGCCTCTAGCACTGCTCACATCCCATCCATTTGATTCTATTGCTCCAGGCGACTTGTATGGAGGATGGAGTTTTTTTTTTTTTTATAATCATTTAATAAAATTAAATGTGGAGGATGGAGTTAATGATGTTGCAATAGAATTTAATTAGGGAAAGGCTATAGGCATATAAAGGAGGACGAAAGATTAGTGTTATATGAAGGAGAATAAAGGATAGACGAGGTGTAGAGGAGTTTTCGGCGGTGAGTGAAGGGTACCAAATCTCAATGTTTTATTGGCTAAATGTGCACTACAAGAAATTTGTTGTTTTCCGACGGTATTACCGCCGGTTTTTACTGGCGATTTAATAGGAGGTTTTTAATAATTCATCGCCGGAAATTTCGACGGTAAAATGACAGTCATATATACCGTCATTTTTTTTAAGTGTCAGAATTTACCGGTTGTTTGAACCGCTGGTAAGTTTAGCCAACGGAAATTGTCAGTCGGAATTCCTTAGCTACGCGGTTTATTCCTGTGGTTTTAAAAACGTCGGAAAACAGCTGAAAATTTTTCAAACCGCCTTAACTGGCCGCTTGTATTCTGCCATTTTCCTGTAGTGGTGATAGTTAAGAAGAAGGATGACTTAATTTACATTTAATTTTTTATGTTTTTGAAAAATTTTAGTGCATAAATTAAAGATTAAGGAGTTAAATATGTACATATAAGTCTTAAATGCTAGCCATGTACATAAATGCAGTTATAGATGCCCAACAAAATGAAGAAAGAAATGCCGATAAGTTTAATCTTACAAAAAAAAAATTCAAATTAGAGCATTGGAAATCAACTCTATAGACTTCCTCCAAGATCCAATTCTAGTGTTAAAGACACAAAATAAGATAAAATAAGACAACAATA